GTTCTACGAAAAAGGTTACTCATAATTAAGGCGACACCCGACTAGAACGTTTGGAACAAAGTGACAAAAACGAATGGAAGGTCAAAGTTATGTGTAAGGACTAAACTTTAGACAAACGTAGAGAGTAGCTGTCACCCACCTTTAGCCTATAAAGTCCGTGATTTCATGCAACGAAGTTCACAGGAAGAGGCCACGAGGAGTACAGAGGGAAGGCCTCCAAAAGTTAAGGTTATCCATTTAACCATAGAGAAAGCCTCGGTCTCCAGATGTCTTAATCATCTTGATGGCAAGATATTGACACCTTACCGACCTTTTCCCCAGAGTTTTACACTTTGGCAATTGACTTCAGAAAGGAATAAGGTCCAACAACTCACCCGAATTTGCAGTCAATATGACCTTGCTGCCCCAGTCTAAGCACTCCACCACAAAAGGCAGAACACCGAGAATTAAATCAGCTCCGCTGTTGTCGCAGAAGATGAGTACACACCGGGGTCGATCTGCCGGATTGCTAATTCGTTCTAGCCATCGTGAGAAGTCATCCACCAACCACGGTCGCGGCTTCAAAGAGAAGGAGAGCGTGATGATTGTAGGCAAACAGCACTCCTCCCACTGGTGGTACTTTTTGTGGTGAACTGTCACCATTGCCACTTTACAATTATCTTCCAATTTTTTTTTTGGATTAGATTATTCAAAAGTGGTGCGTTTGCATTTTGGCTTCGAATGGGTGGGAGGTCAGAAATGCGAAGTGCCGAAGGTCAGAGAATGGGGAAGGTAGGTTAGAATATTACATTGTAAACGCCAAAAAGCGGTGCTCAAGAACAAATTTATCTGCTAATATACTGCCTTTTGTTGCTACCTTTAAATCCACAGAACCAATCGTCTGGACATTAGGGGCGTACCTCTGAAAGGCAAGAATAAACAGTATAGCTCAAGGGAATGGGCATTTCTTCATAGGCAAATGGTTATGCAAAATACGGTTGCCGCGGAACATTGCCTAAACTTCATTCTTCATGATCGGACGTACAGAGCACTCCCTCCTCTGTGGGAGGAGGACTTTTGGCTCCCGCAGTGCGCACACAAGTCAGCAGGGACGAATTTGGACCTTCAACACACATAACTACTCAGGATATGATGGAACGCAGTCACTTTCACTTTCTGGATGACAGCTTATGACAACGTACTCATACGCTGCAAAATAGCTATCAGTGAAAACAGACAGCAATGTCAAGCCAGTGAAAGAGACTATTTCAAGCCATATGACTGGGACAAGTCAGATGGTCTCATTCTTATTGGGATCAAATCGGATTAAGTCATGTGGGTAAGAATGGTCTCTTCAGCAAGTACTCTTCGCGAATTTGCGATCCCTTTAGCAGCGATGAAAACTAGGCCAGTTCAGCCTTCCAGGACCTTTTAAACCATCTACATCCACACATTAGAGGAAATTTTCGAGTTCTAAATCAAGAGAGATGTAAGGTTCCCTTTGCTCACAGCCTGCACAATCCAGGGTAGATGACTGAAAATAGTCATAAGCATGGTAGCCGTCTGGGCATCCAATTTGAACACAATGGACAAGGTTAACAGGGTTGACAACAACTGTGCCAATTGCGAACATGTTCTTACTTCAGTTTATAAACAGGACTCATTTCCCAATTTTCATTCAACTACAACTTTCTTATTTAATAGTTGTTGTACCCCGGATGCCAGACATTCCACAATTAAGAGACGACAGCACAAAAAGCGGCAAAGGTAGCACAAATCCTACTAGGCACATGCTCAGTGTCATCCAAAGGTGCCCAAGCCACACACACACAGCCGACAGCAGCATCATCATCAGAAGTGGTGAGCATATCATCAGTGCCACCGTTACCACTGAAGCCGTGTGCTTGCCCTAATTGCATGAATCAGGTGATGGAGAATGGAATGACATTTATTGGGATTGGTCAAGGTGAAGTTGAATCTCACATATTTACAAGGACAAAAAAACTTCTTCAACTCATCACCCACCCATATTGAGAATTAACGTAGGAATTGGCACCTGTCACCATCAATTCGTACGTTTTAATAAATTATTTCGAACTGTATGCGGAGCGGCTCAGCGATTAACCAATAAACTTGAGAGAGAAGAACAGGAATTAATCAAATCACTGATCCATGTTCATGCGAACATATGTTAAACAAAGAGCAATTTTTTTTATGAATTCAACAAAAATTAAGCAAATGATCAGGATTTGCCAAATCGGTGTATTACTAAATATAATCTGTTACAATTCCAATTCATCTATATTTTCTCAAATTAATAAGTGGTAACACCTATACCAATTCCAAAGCAAAACTTACTAGCATAACATTTCACAAGCAAACCATCAATCTTAGGTCATTAAATTGTCAACCATGTTGATGCATTGAAAGTAAGCAGAAGTGAAATGAAGACAGCAGAATCGTACAAATACTTAATATGGTCATCTTGTCAATTGGCCACATGACTAAACCAATCAGATCCAAGAATCAACCACAAATTGCACTCGAGGGAACCCGAAAGGGAGGATGTGAATGATAGAGGGGTCTGTTGTGAGGCGACGACAACTCAGAACATCCATCTGGCCAGAAAACCATCGCCAAACAAGTCACAAGGAGAGACCTACGCTTAAAATCTATCACTTGAAAAAGAAATAGCGAAGCGCTTTGGTGCTGAAGAGAAAGACAATACATCTATCAACAGATACGTCAAATGAAATGAACTACTCCAGAGATCACACTACCTGGAATCTTCAACTATTCACTCAGAAACGACCCACAAGCGGATGGAGACATGACAGCATGCAACTATCATACAAAACCGAGATCATAGAACGAACCTGCAGCTTAGCGAGGGCCTGCTCAAAGCTCGCCATGCCTTCGACAGAGTCCTGAGACTGTGTGAAAAAGCAAACCGCTTCGGATGCGCCCCAATCAAAGATGTTGCCCGTGAGGAAGCCTTGTGCCAGCTCCATTTGTCGCTCCGTCCAGGCCAGTCGACCCAGGCGTTCCATTATGCTGGGAAAGTAGGTGAGGGACCACGTATTCTCCAACTGTGCGAAGTTCAAACGATTAAAAAGTGCACGGAGAACGCAAACTTGCAAGTGGGAACGCAGCACCACCTGCACTTAGAGACGCTAAAGAAAATACCAGTCTTAAGGAACGAAGTGGGTCCAGGTTCATATGGGTCCTACACTCGCATAGTAACAAATGGCACTACACATCGTAGAAAGTAACAAGTCTGTCCTTCTAATAATGATCGACGTTCATGTCATGGACTAGTCCAATCCAGCAAAACAATGGTGTCAACCTGTGTGCGCATGCAGCAGCCTGAAATGCTGAAAAATCTCCTATCAACCGAGGCCTTAGATACCCTCCCAGAAGACTTGCAGCACAGCACGGTACAGTGATGTGACACTTAGCTCCTCAGAGCAAGATGATAGAATTTTTCTACTTTTCAAAGCCATCAAAGACCCCACTTCAGTGAACATCCTGACTACGATGGCTCCACCATCAAGACAGAAATTCCCGACAGCACTTATTCAACATGTAAAAATCCTGATCCTGGATGTCTCATCAATGCCCATCACATCTACCGAGGCAACGATTGGCCTTGGCTAGACGGTTAAAGCACCGTTGTGACTCACACAAGTTAACGCCTACCCTACCTCTGCATCGGCTGTCTGCCAAAGCACGTATTTCACACGGCATCATCAACTCACGGGATATGAAGCAACCACGCTCCAGATGAGCTGGTTCCTACCAATCTTTGCTAGCCGTCTGATCTGGTTTCCACTCGATTCGCCAACGATGATTGCATCATCGGTCTCCTGCGAGACCGGTTACTCACCTGTCAAACACACCACACGATGAAGTATATCAATACGGTTTTCTACTTGACTTGTTTTGATAACCAGTTTTATGTTCCGCCTCTATGATGCGCTAAAGTTGGCAAGGCCGTCAATGGTGTTAAACCAAGCGATCTTCACGTAACACCTACAGACTGCCACAGACAAATCTTACAATACTAAAACATCCTGTATGCTGGTAAATAAATGGGACTGTGAGAAAAAAAGTAGTACCAACTTGCATTATTTGAGGTGCGTTCTTTTCGTTTGTAAACGAAATCAAGGCCAAATGCACAAAAATAGGATAAATATGTCAATTTTCGACAAACAATTACCTTTTTCTGTACACAGAAGGCGTCTGGAAACCCAAACTCCCGAAGAAGGTGCTGTTGCGCCTCAAGAATGCTTCGTACAGTGAGTAGCCCACGTCCACTCGGTCTAACATTGAGTTCGGTCAAAAAGTTGACATAGCGATTCGCAAAAAGCTGAGCACGCTCCTTTGAATCCCCTGCAGTCGACTTTTCTGCCTGACTTTCTTCCGCCTTCTTTCGCAACCGCTCTACACCTTGCTAGAGAAGAAGAAAAGCATAATCAGACCTCATTATGGAGCGATCCACACTTCCCATCGCTCTTAACCAGCTGGTTCTTTCACCTTAAAACACTCCAACCAATAAGCCCGAGCTTTGCAATCCTGAGTCAGATCCCACGTATCCGGGACGTAGTCAGCTGGAGAAAGGAGCAAAGGAAACGGCTCTAGAGACATATCGCCCAGATGTTCAAGTTCAAAATCGGACAGAGTAAGCCCATCGGTGCTGGAGGAGGGAGGCATGGAGCTGCGGGCGATGAGCGAAGTTGCATAGCTCTCCGACCAACATTTGGACGAGTGCTGTTGCTGTTTTTGAGGCACCTGATTGTTTGGTGACTGCGCTGCTGATGCCTCCCCTGTCCCCACGCCGTTGTATTGAGCGAATGTGGGAGGTTGAGAGGCCTTCATAAAGGCACCTACGGCACCAAGATAACCTTCGTGTCGCAGAAACATCGCTTTAAGTGCACCATTGGACCAGTAGTTCACGGCAAAGGAGATAACCTATAGAGACGGTAACTGCTAACAATGAGCCGTCTACTGGAAGATGTTTTTTAACCACTTTTGAAACGTGCCTCCATAGTGAGTCGATGACCGCGAATGAAGAAACCACCGAAGAGGATCCGTCGAACACCATTTTGAAGAGCATAAAGACACGCCAATTGACCAATGTTGCTAATAATAAGAAAAAATGATTGGATAAAAAAGTGGCCAATAGTCCTTACACCGACTACGGTGGAGGTAAATTCAGTCCCTCAGAGATTCGAAGCCTTAGACAATTACCGTTCGCATAAACATCGACAAGTGGTCAAAAATTACCGCAGAGGACATCATCCATCTGTCTGCATGGAGTTGTTTGTGGAGGCGGGTACTGTGATCAAGTGAGACTATCAAGTTAAGTTAAAATTTCTGAGATATTAGGGACCTAAATCAATCTTGTAATCCAATTGACAGCTGACAAGAGAAGTAAGCGATGAGGATGAGGATATGCGTTGAACTATAAAAGAGGCTACTATGGAACACTAGGAGAAAAAGCATTCATTTGTTAGGCGCTGAGAGGATGGAAGAGTGCTTTGATGGAGACTCATTCCTGAATCTTAGAAATGAAAGTGAGCGGACCGATGGAGTCCGAGCGAAGAAGACGGACAGACGAAGCAAGAGTGGGAAAAAACAGGCGGATCTAGAAAAAATGGTTAAATAAACATAAGGTGGCCGGGAGAATGAATCAAAAGCATCGAACAAATGGATTCCAACTGGATGAAAAAACGAAGAATGGATGGGTGGATCGATAGCACAACAAAGGATGATGAATAAATGGATAGACGGAGGGACTGGGTATGAAGGGGCCAACAGGCGCTGATAACACCGTGTATAAATACAATCACACAATAAGAGAGAAATAACCGACCCACTCACTTGCTAATGGCCACCAGCAACGCTTTGACCATATCCGCTGGCCTCCGTGTCTCGTTAGGTCGCCGTGCGGCCAAACCGAAGGAGCTGGCGATTACATCGGCCGCCAGGCCCAGTGACTCGTAAGCTCCGCCATAAATGTCCTTCACAAGCATATCCACCTGTCGATGATCGCCCTTGTCCGCTAACTCCAGCAACTCGTCGAAAGACATCTGACCTGTCAGACAAGGAGGCGAAAGCTTGCGAAATTTCAATGAATTTTGAAACCAACTTTTGTTTAATCTAGGACAGGAGTAGCACTCGCATGTTCCGCATTTTCAGCATTTAAATAAAAGGCTGCATATCCTATGTTCTTAAGAAATCGTTTTAAATCCATTTTCCTTTCTCCATTTTGTTTCCTCCAAAAAAGTCTGAAATTGTAAGATTAAGATAGAAATGTGCATTTTGCAATCCTATCGTTCTAACTTCGAGTTTTGTCCTAATTTTGTTTGGGTCCATTTCATCCCAGACTTAAATAAGATACTGATTATAAGACTCCTTCAAATCCATTTAAGACTATTTTTATCCTGGGATTTTTAAAGAAACTACCACCCTCCAAAATCTCTATCTTAGTGCCTCTCAAAAAACACGTCTTAATAGAATTCAAGTAGAACTTTCACCCAAGCAAGGTTACCACTTCCAAATCCAAGAGCATTTCGTCTGGGCTTCAAACGACAAATCTCCACACCAAAGTACTCCTGATCTACCAAAGCTCAACAGAGCATGTCAAACTCGAGCACCTATATTTTGCAAAGCGGAGACACCAACCGCTTCGGCCTCAGAGTAGAGGTCTCACAGAGCACATAGCTCTTCGTGATAGAGGTTAGAGAGGTCAAGCTCTCATCGATTAGTGCACCACGTAGGCATGTGTGGGTGTATTCGTTGGGTTGTCACGCCTAAGCCAGCTAGACGTCTCGTTTATTGATGGGTTAAACAATGTGCGCTGGCTAACACTAGTGGCATCATAGAAGGCTTGAACCCCACACAGTGGCGCCAAAAAATCAACAAGAGGGGTGTCAGCACCCAAAACCAGGCATACAATACTTTATAGAGTTACTTCAACCCAGCAGCGACTCAGCAAACCATAGATCAATTAAATACGATCACAACAGGCCCCTTGCGGTGGGAATTTCTCAGAATAGTCCTTCGGCAGAAGCGAGGTTAGACTTTTGTTTGAAACAGAGACCATTGAGCTTGGCTCAGACACTACTAATCAAGCGATCATACTTGTCTATTAATCCACAAGATAAGTAATATATTGGGTACGATCGTACTTATTAGAAGCGAGCCACGTATGTGACGTGTTTTTCATCAGGTCATGTCAACCAGTTGCTACAAATTGACTAAGGCAACCACATAGATTGGGCTTCAAACAACAAAAACGATCCAGGATGTTCTTAGTCTGGAAAAGATAACTGCCTGTCATGGATTTGGAGTTGCATAATATTGAATAGAAAACACGAATTGTGGGCTGATTCTCCTCTGAGGTCCTCGTAGTAAGTCTATTAAATGAACAACAATGGCACCACTACTTAAATACCTAATCCATTAAGCTTCCATAAACCACACAAGGGATGTTCATCCTATCATTCACTGAAAGAAAGCAACGGTAAGATTGAGTGTAACTAAAACGCAACAATTAGACAAAAGTGGACGTAAAAGCGAGCCCGACAGCTTGATATGGTAGAACCATAAGATACTCCTTTCAAGCGACAACACGTAAAGAATGTGCACGAGACTTTAATTAACTGGAGAAGCATCGAATCTTAGACTTAGTTCCAAGTAGGGAATATTTACTGCAAAGGAGAGGATCACCTACTTGTGATACAGTAAACCAGGACCAGTGGAAATAATCATTTCCCTAAAAATACAAATTCATATTAAAATGCAACAGATAAAACTACTTCATCATCAGCCTGCCCATAAACGTTATAGAGAAGGCGACCAACCTTAACGAGGTTACAATACTACAAGTATACTGAATGAACCAATGCAACAAACGCTGCCCAAATGCATAATAATGAAGTCAAACAACATATTTGCCTACGCGGATTCGACAGTCTCCGCAAGTCCTAATGCCATCTTAGCGGGATGGACCTTCAAGCATGCCTATAGACTCCCAGTACTTAAATACTCTAATAGCGAACCTCCAATAACTGTATGATTTACGATGATTCAAGGTACCACGACAAAGCTCGAATTCATTTATATGGCAATTAGGATGGATCTCGATTCAATCCCACCAGCCAATTACTGAGGCATGGGTGACGGTTTCGTAGCCGTTCAATACCGCTAAGCCATGGGAGGATAGTTTCCGGTAATAAGAACAAAATATGCAAATATCTCACTTTCAATACACATATGCGTGACGAAAAGGTGGCTTTTCTCTGCCTTTGAGGAAGAAAACGGCCAAAAATTGTAAAAGAAAACGAAGCAGAGCTCATAAATTATGGGAGCGAAAAAGCACAACTCACCACCAGCGAGAAGACTTCCGATTCCCCAAAAGGTTCCACCACCCAGTGAAGTACCGCCTACGCGTTTATAGGAAGCATCTGCTTCTACCTTGAGAAAACTCACTCCTGACCCAATGTTCACAAGGAGGAAGGGAGCGGTGTTCACCATGAAGGAAGAAAGAAATATCTGCGATGGCATGGCTCTCTTATCGTAGATGAACGCCTCATCAGGAATGTTTCGCAGCAAAAAGGTGCATCCTCGCACCAGGGAGGCCATCTCATCTTCCCGTTCGATTTCCACATCTCCCAGTTTCTCAAGGATACTTGGCATGTACTTAAAAGATCCACCACCGGTAACACGACCTACTAGACGCATGGATTCTCTACCAACGTCTGTGTAGGCTGGTAGGATGGTGGAACGGATAAATTCAAGACAGGCATCAATGTGACGCGTCTCGAACTTAGTAAAACAAAGTTTATGACCCTCATATTCGTGCTCTCGGTAGTCATAGAACTCAAAGGGACCGCAGATGGTTGAGCGACGCTTGGAATGAGGGTCCGAGAGTTCCTTAGGCACACAGACTTTGTAGCGAAAAGTGTGTTGGTAGGCGAGTTTGGCCAGAGAGCCGCCGATGTCTAGGGCGAATGCACACTCGATAACTTTATCGCGGGGGGATTGATTAACCTCTTTGGCCACTACGAGGTCGGTAAAACTGGAAATGTCAATGGGGGATGCGTACGCTGACTGCGTCATCAGGATTTGGGAATGCTAGAGAGCAAGCGCGCCTAAAGTTACGAAAGGAATTTAGAGTCTGACAACTTGTACGCGTCAAACCAACAAGTTACAAAGACACGAAGAAGATGAAACCTATCCATACATTCAGAAGCAAATAAGGACGTACCTGAAAAAAGTACTTTAGTGATAATAAGTGAACTTTGCACACAACGATAGTACATTATAAAGTATATGATTGGAGGATCCAAGAAACAAAGAAAAAATGGGCCGAGGACAAGAATATAACAATAAAGTTGAAGAGTTTATCCCAACATAAGGCGATATAAACAACACAAACCAGTCAAAATAATATCATGCGATACCCAACGCGACCTTCAACTGTGATCATTTAGTCCTTCTAAAAGTTGGGACTAGACATTTCTCCATTGACCCCTAAACAAACGAAATTGAGCCTTAATAAGGCATTAATGGTAATAGCAATAAATTGTGACCGAAAAGTTCAGGTCATAATACAGGTCCAGAGAAGGGACTGCACCAACTCAAACATTTGAAAATGACGATATCTCGCTGGTCCCCTAAGCCATTGGTGCTGTCAACTTTCTTTAAAGTATAATCCCAGCCTTTGTTGTTAAATGAAAATCCTATCCACGAATTAATGTAACAGGTACTTACAGGTTTGGAAAATTGTGTTTCCATTGTAGCTATTTAGGTAATTTAATTGCTTTGACACAACAACTCATTCCCATATCATAATTTAAAGGGAAATGGTAAACGGATTATCACTAAATGAAACTTAGTCTAAGGGACATCACAACGAATTAGCTTGTATGCTAATGTACAAAACAGGTTAATACTTTCATTAATTAAGTCCCAACCGGATCTATAAATATACACTCCATCAAAGTCTTTTTTAACAGGCGCAAGGATGAAGGAGAGCATTCCTTGTTTATTTCCGAGTTCCCTATTTAATCCCTTTTGTTCCTGTATTTTCAGTATTACATTATTTTCACCCTGATCATACTATCGTGATCTAATTTCCACTTTCTCAAATAATTATTCTGTTCTTGGTTTCGTTTATTTTTAAAGGTAATTTGGTCTTCCTCCCTTGGTTTACTTAACCCCTTATCCCTCTTCTGTTTCACGCGTACATTCTAGCCCACCTTGGTAAGTCTGCTTCAGGGCGGTCTCATTTGGGTACGCAAAATGCCCCAAAATACCTTGAGAAATGAAATGCTACAACACTTTGTGAAGCACACGGAAGCTGCTAACTTCCGTAGAGCGGCTGCTTACAAGTCCAGGAAAAACAAAAGTACGTTCGTGGCTCTTGCTGCGACTGCCTTCGCTGTTGGCTCCTGTATCCTTTATCGGACGTGTACGGTTTTACATTTCCACTTCTTATAAGTTTCTCATCAGTAGAATTCAGAAGACGGAATCTATTTTCGTGTAGATGTTCTCATTAATATTTGAAACTCTACTGTGTGTGGGTTCGTTAAATACTAAATCCGTATTTCGTGGTTAGTGTATTTGTTGACTCACATCTCTAAGTCAAAGTTATAAAGCTCTAAACTATTTACTAGGGTATAATATTTCCTGTTTGTATCCTTAGTTGATTGGTTATAGATCTCTTCTCCATAAATGCCGTGCGCCAAGGAAGATTTTTGGATGAGTCTTTTGACAAACTCCCGAACCCCAAGTAAATACCAACGACCACACTTCCCAGTCATTTTCTTGTGTCAGAGTTTCAGCTTGTATTATGCCCTCTACGTTTCTTCATATTTAATCGCCTTAAACTCGTATCTTTTGAAGATGGCTGCTTGATTATCCGTACGACTAGTCTTGCTTTCCAATAACTAGCCCTGCGTACTCCTGAAAAAGTCACGAACATCACGAAGTAGCTTCTAAGTTTATTTAAACTATTTGGCGCTTTTGAAGAACTCACACAGAGTCCAAAGTATACTCTGAGTGCAAGTTTTTTTTCAGTCGACGCATGATTGGTTATTTGGTGTCTTAAATCTTGAGTTGAAGACGATTGCGTTGATAAACATTTTCACCCAACTGAATTTATTTTTGTATACGCAAAACCAGTTCTCTCTTTGCCTAGCTAGGTCTGCTTTATTGTCCGAATGACCCCACTGATGTAGGCAGGATCGCATTTCTTTTTAAACCATCTTAAAGGGCTGGGTTTCCCTCCATCTCTCCTGGAATCACTTGCCTTGTGGTGAGAAAACTTGAGCTTATTCTGCTTTCTGATTCCTTGAGTCGCATTTTTTGCCCTCTAGCCGGTGCTATTGTGCTGAAATATCTTATCCTCATCACGACTTGGTAATTAAGTGAAACTTATTAAAAGGTGTTGGCTAGCTTTTGACGTGCGGCAGTAAGACTGTCTCACCCGTGAATTTTTGCGAACCCGTTGACGACCACAGGAAAATTTCAGTAGACATTCTTGCGTTCTTATTTCCCGATTACGTGCGAAATTGACAATGGGTAATGAAAATAATGCCTTTACCAATAATACATTACAGATTATAACGTCGATGATGATGAAGATACGAATAAACATAAGGGCGGAGCGTTCCCACTTTACAAAACGAATTAAATATAAGCACTGTAAGCAAGAAGGGAAGGGCAGAGGGAGCAGCGAGAGGATAGAGACAGTGGAAAGACGATACCCACACCACGATTCGAGTTAAAAACATATCAACTGACTTTTTGGGAAAAGTTAAATGCAAAACAAGGAGGGAGGATTGAAATTACCAGCAAAAATGACGGTTCATGTCCAAGGTAGCGGACTAGGCTTTTGGATACTTTACACGCAAGCACAGGGAGATCAGGACAGAACGATACAGTGACAGATAGGAACTCCCTCAAGTAGCTGACTGTTACCTGAAAGACCACGTAACCTTGGGCAGGACGGGGATTTTCCGCTTAAAAGATAGAAGGATACGAATTTGGAGGAAGATCATGCCGACAGCAGAATACCGTTGGCCAGTCCAGGAACGTATTTCGGTTGGACTACTGCCAGGACAAATTGATTTTGTACTGTGCTGTTGACCGCATTGACAAGTCGGTTGGTTCTAACAAGGGGGTCATTTTCAATCACTTTGGTGGCCTCCCTGTCGTCACGACACTCAGCGCCTGATTGGCCGAAGAAGTACTCCCACCATGTCATTGGCTCGCATTCGTCGAAGTCCTTTGCAGAGCCCAAAATGCGAGACCGGCTCACTGCGAGATTGGAGAAAGAACAAAGGAACTGGTGATCGATTGCACTGGGTACGTGAGTTGTCAAAACTGTGGTAATCAATTATCGGATTACCAGTGTACTTGGGTACTTGTGTCAAAAGATGGATTATTTCAGGTTGTACCACAATGAGTGTATGACAAGTAAGTGGATTAGTTGATAGTAAACTGTTGCGAAATGAGCAAAAACCTCAGGATACTAGCATAGCCTATTCACTGTCGGCACCACTTTTTTACCACCAAAAGGGACAGCAACATGATCGCCTGGCAAGTATTTGGTCTACAGGTAGCTAAATCAATTTCAGATCCACCCACTCAAGCGTTTTTCTCCGGATTGGTCGTTGCTATTCTTAGCTCTTTGAGGGGAACTGCTAGGTGAGATAGAAGCTCGCCGATTTAACAATAATTAAAAGTAATCATTAACTGTTCTATTTTAGACAGTAAGGGAATTTGCTGACTTTTGCTTAGTTCGTGCGACTGAGCAATTTATGGGGACTTGCTTCCAGCAGAGACTTTGGAAGAGTGGATTATCTCCAACACTTAGTGTCTCATTGTCATCACTTATGGGGCAAACTCATGAAGCAATTGGTTCACTTAATGAACTGTTAAAAGATGGCATTTGGAAGTGCTTTGACAAAGGCTCTGCAACAATGCTGGCGAAGTTCTATCGGACCCACCGAGGCGCGAATCCACGGAGCCGGGAGGCGCTTTTTCCAATGAAGTGCACCACAAATCGCTAAAGCACATGAAGACTCACTCGATAAGGAGAAACTTTGTGGTATTGACGCGCTCACACAAGAGTTTGCACGCCTTTCAGGTTATCAGGAGCTCTCACACTCCTACAATTAATGTCAACATTGGATTTTGTTCACCGTCGGGTAGACCTTGAAGGACGCAGAGAAAGAGACCTTGAATGGGCTAATAACACTCAACGTAAAGTTGTCAATCAAGTCTCCGTATTGACTTGCAAGCCGTGGTATAAACAAGAGGTGAACTCAGTGATCTCTTTTTCATCAGACAATAACCTTGAAAGAGCCTATGTGATTAACCGGCTTCCAAGTCACCAAAGGCCCACATTCGTGAAAAGCAAGAGTCGAAAGAAAGAGAACATTCTACAGACTGAGGTTTGGAGAGGTCTTCCATAGGATTTATAAAAATTGCTGATTTTCGAAATGCTGAAAAGGCAATTTGTCGGTAAATTAGTGCTGGTGTACCAAGAAAACGTGCAGTTTTCGCATTCAGCATGTAGTTTTAAGAAAGTATTTAAAAAATATACATTAGCAGGGAATTAATGTTTGTTTTTTGCAAAATTACTTCCCAGAATTTAGTCCATATTAACGCCAACTTCTATCGAACTTTTGCCTTTGTCCATCTGAATGGCCAATGAGAGACGGAGGCCCAAACTCACCTGGACTTTTGATACGGACCGCCTCTTGATCTTGTGAATTTTGCTCCTCCTTGAAGTAGGCTGCAGTGCGGGCCCACTCATGCATGCGGTAGATGGAAGCGGTTCCCTTCGTTACTTCTCGCATGTAACTCACATTGGGTCCTCGAGCGTAGTCTCCATCTAATCGTGGACCCATTTTCTGCGTCCTTGCCGTCCACGTGTATCCAATCTATGATAGACTTCAATTAGTGAATGCTAGGCCTTTTCTCGACTTAATTAGACTCGTGTATTTTGCGACGTCTGTGGGTAAGAATCAGACGCTGCACTAGTGGTAACAGAGTGGGATACGTCCGACGACTTTTGCGTCTTCGTAAAACATGACTATTTCTATTTA